CAAAATGCCCAAACAGCTGTCAGATCATTAAAATTAAAAGAAATAATAATGATAAATAAATAAATAAAGACCTTAACAATTATTTTATTTTTTTAAAGATTTTATTCATTTATTTGACAGAGACAGAGAGCAAGTAGAGGGAGTGGCAGGCAGAGGGAGAAAGAGAAGCAGTCTCCTTTGTGAGCAGGGAGCCCAATGTTGAGCCTTGATCCCAGGACCCTGGAATCATGACCGGAGCTGAAGGCAGACACCTAACCAACTGAGCCATGCAGGTGTCCCCCCCGCAAATATTTCCTATCATCGGTGGCCTGATGTACAATTTAAATCATCCTGATTACACTAGGAGGGATCTGATACCAATTTGTCTCACTTTGGTGACGTGAATGTGATTACTTGGTCAAGGTGATATCCTCCAGATTTTACCATTGTAGAGAAACCTGTTTCCATTTGTAATTAATAAAGTAATTTATGGGGTGATATTTGAGACTCTGTGCATATTCCCAGTTAAAAAACTTTTTTTAATCATCCTAGAGTTATGAGGCCCAGCTTTTAGGCTCTGCTGTTCTCTTACCCTCTGTGTGACCTTGGGTAAGTCACATAACCTCACTGAGCCTGTTTCTTAAGTAACCCGGACAACCTTGAAAAAGTTACCTCCCCTCTAAGACTAAATTTATTTCACCAATGGGCAGATTTGACTAGGCACTTCACCAAAACAGATCTCCAATGGCCAAAAGGCGTATGGAGAGATAGTCAACATCATTACCCATCCGGAAATGAAATTTGAAACCAGAGTGGGATGACCACATACCTCCCAGAATCATCGAATGACAATGGTGGTCATTCCTATGTAGAACACTGGAACTCTTCGTCCTTGCAGGTGGGAATGTAAACTGTTACAACCACACTGGAAAACTACTTGGCTCTGTCTACTAAAGATAGGTCTGTGGGCACCCAGGAGCCCCCCTGCTGGATATATTATCAATGAAAGCAGGAAGATACAGTTACCAAAAGAAGTGCTCCTTTCTAGCTTCAAGTGCAATAACAATACCTTCATTGTGCCAGGCCTCAAGCTCCGTGTTTTCTGCAGAGATGCTCTGTAGTCATCTGAGCTAGGCTCTGTGGTGAGGGAACTGTGGCCCAAAGACGTAGGGAACTTGCAAATTCACGTGTGGACAGAGGGGTGGAAGTGACTTGGAACCTGTAATCCTTGAAAACCCTCAGGCCAGGGGCACCTGGGTGGCTCAGTGGGTTAAAGCCTCTGCCTTTGGCTTGGGTCATGATTCTGGGGTCCTGGAATCGAGCCCCATATTGGGCTCTCTGCTCAGCAGGGAGCCTGCTTCCTCCTCTCTCTCTGCCTGCCTCTCTGCCTACTTGTGATCTCTGTCTGTCAAATTAAAAAAAAAAAAAAAATCTTTAAAAAAGAAAGGAAGGAAAACCCGCAGGCCAAGAGAACCAGGGAGGTTTAGGTGTGGCAAGCATGGCTGACCTTCTTCCAAGACTTTCTCTCCCTTTGTCTCCACAACTGGGCTCCTCTGGAATTTGCCTCCAGATCCCAGCTGGAGGCAGGAGGGGGCACTTCCTGTTTCTCTTTGCCTGAGTCTGGGTCATCCCACTTTGTTAACTCTTAGATGCTTCCATTCAACTGATTTTAAGGCGGAATTACATTTTTAAAAGTGTACTTATTAGTGTTTATTGAAGAATGTCTTTCAGCCTACTCATAATGTTTAAAGCTAGCTAAGAAAGTCTTATCGGTTATTTCTAAAAAGACAAATACACTATATTGATCTGTGCCCATAAAATGGAAGGGGGTTTCTCAATGTATGGTAGTCTCTCCACTCAATCCCTTAAACACATGAACACATGTGGCTCCTCTGCTACATGGTTCCAAGTGGGATCTACAATGGTCTTTTTTTTTTTTTTTTTTAGATTTTTAAAAAAGATTTTATTTATTTATTTGACAGAGAGAGATCACAAGTAGGCAGAAAGGCAGGCAGAGAGAGAGAGGAGGAAGCAGGCTCCCTGCTGAGCAGAGAGCCCGATGCGAGACTTGATCCCAGGACCCTGAGATCATGACCTGAGCCGAAGGCAGAGGCTTAACCCACTGAGCCATCCAGGCACCCTTTTTTTTTAGATTTTATTTATTTTTGAGAGAGAGAAAGAACTGGAGTAGGAGTGGGGAGAAGGGGCAGAGGGAGAAGCAGACTCCCCACTGAGCAGGGAGTCTAATGAGGGCATCAATCCCATGATCCTGGGATCATGACCTGAGCCAAGGGCAGACGCTTTAACCTACCGAGCCACCCAGGCGTCCCTGCAATGGTCATTTTCAACATCGGAAATCTACGACCAATGGACAGCCTAAACCTAAAAAGTTATTTACTAGGCTCTTTACGGGGTATTAAGAATTTGTAACATAAGTCTAGGAAGTTAATGTCCTAAAAATCTGGTACTTAGGTGTTGATCTAATTTGTAGCCACTAACAAAATTCTGTAAGGTACTTCACTTTTGCTATGAAAATGGCCCCGTGTGTTTGTATATACAGCCTGCTAGCACAGCCACTATGTGTATATCCAACATGGGTTTGGAAAATTGTCTAGCGTGGCATGAGAAAGTCGTGTCAGGGTAGAAATACCCTCTATTTGTGGAGACTAGCTGATGGGGGAAGGGAGACGGGTCTATACAAACTCGGACAATTATAAAATTATTTAAAAACTGCTAATAGAGAACAAGAAATAGTTAAATGAGAAATCATTACAAAAAGGATTTATTAGACAAACACATCAATCGATTGAGTCTAAGGGTTTGGCCCGAAAGCTACTGGGTCTTTCAAAGCAGCGGAAGTTCAAAGTTACACCCTCGGAGCATTACTCTGCTACAACGTGTAGAAACCAGAAAGGTCAGGAATGACAGCATTCCATGCTAGCCCACAGACAGATAAGCCTTCCGCTGGAGGCTTCTGTGATGCTGGTACCTGAGAGATGAAACGTTCCCCACACCTTGCAGGAATTCAGCTTCTTGTTACAGATCTTGACTCTGAGCACTTGAACTGCCTGTTCATGACACACGGGATGTTGCTTTTCGAAAACCAATGAACAGTTACTAAGGGAGTGTTTCTCAGCAGGTAACGTGAATAAAACATTCTCTACTACAGTAACTGCATTTTTAATCTCATCTGGCATCAACTGTCTTTTAGAAAGTTAAAATGCGTTGTTCGGGGGCATTCTTCTTTAACATAGAAGGAAACGAGTAATGAGCACATCATATGCAGTTCAAGGATACCCATTCTCAAATCTTGAGAGCATCCCGTGAGTATGAAGTTTTCATTTAATTTGGCAGAAGGGGGGATATTTTCTATCATTCCTGATAATAATAGAACTAGATATCTCAAAATTATTGTATCATGTGTTCATGAAACCGAACTGGGTTTGCTTTATCAGAAGCAAACTTTGAGCATTAAATTTAATTGTTAATGGTACAGGCTTTCAAACAATAGCAAGCGGTATGGTATCTGTGTAGATATCAGCTGACCTCAAGTAACAAAGGTAAGAATGAAATAGACATGACCTGGTTGGGAACCTCGGGGTTTCTGAGATACAAATTCCAAACATACCACATAGAAAAGTAAAGGCAGTATCCCAAACAAATCTGGCATGAAAAATTTACAGAATAATTAATTTTTCCAGGGACATAATCAAAGTAGTAGTTGGTACTAGGGGCCATACACTAAATTCCCACGGTTAAATCTATTATGGGAATGTTTTTGCTTCCAGAGCCCTCTTCTAGCCCAGCAACTACTTCCTTCACACCCTTGACGACCTTTTGCATGTTGTGCCATCCTGGAGTCTTTCTGGAACAAGAATGGCTCTAGATGAAGCTCTAAAAATGTTGAGTTTGTGCCTTTAAAAAATAGTCCAACTTATGACTGTCATGTGTCCTGGGGGAGCTGTCCTCTCCCAGCTCTGTTCTCTCTTTGGGAGGCTAGGAAATGCCAGGACAGACCAATGAGAGTATCGAATACTGCAAATCAGAACAGGAGGCCTCAGGCATAAATGTCAAGATTTTAGTTGAACCACTGGTCCCTTCACTATCATTTCTAAGCATGTGAGGCCATTGCCTGTTGGTTAAAGCTGGTCCCAAAATCTGCCGGACGGCCGAACCGCACCTGCGTCAGCCAAACCGCTCCTGCGTCAGCAGGTGAGTCTAGCGACAAAGCCGTTGCATTTCCTGGCAGAAACTTCTGGTCTTCTCCGAAAAGTAGGATACCTATTCTCTCAGGAACAGCCTGTGGGGAGTCTGTTTGGAACACGAATTGTGCTCAAGTCCCAATCTTAAATGAAGATCTAAAAATGTGCAGTTTTGTGCATTTAAAAATAGTCCATTTCCAGCGGCCGTGTGTGCTTGCGGACCCCGCTTGTTCAGTATTCGGGAGGAATCGCTGGGTTTGGGCCAATAATCAAGTATGAAAAGGGAAATGATGTACTCTGAAAGGGGGAAGCCGCTTACCCTCTGAGCGAGCTGAAAGGTTCGAAGACTCCATCCTAAGTGTGAGCGACCCGCGGGCAGGAAGTCTTGGCTCCCTAGCATCCCCATCCCTGCAGCCGAGCTAGCCCTGCTCGGGACACCCAGACTCTCGGGGGAGCCCCGGAACGGAACTGAGCCTGACCGAAAGTGAAGAGCCAGTTCCAGAATCGGGAAGGCTGCGCACAGCCTTCGTCTCCGGACACTTTTACAGACCGCAGAACCTTGGCCCCCCTGTAGACCGCGTGGGTTCAGGGTGTCTTCGCGGAGGGCAGGGGCGCGGCTGGAGCGGGCAGGCAACCTCTCCCTGCCCTCTGGTGGCGCCTCCCGACAGCTGGAATACAAGGGGCGAGCGGCTCACCACGAGGGGGCGGTCCCTGCGCGTCGGCGCCTTGGGTGGCAGGGGGAACCTCACCGCCACGCCAATCATCCGTGAATCCCGACCAAGGGGGCCCCCGAGAAGCTCCGGGTTCATAGATGCGGGTTCATAGATGCGGAGCGTAGAAAGGGGTCAGGTAGGAGGGCCCGAGGAAGGACGCAAAGGGGCCCCCAGCGGCTGCGGCCGTTGGAGGGAAGGAGGTGGCGGCCGGAAAGAGGACGTTGGCCGCCGCGTAGGAGGGGAAAGTCTGGAAGGGCAGTGCGCCGGAGCCGGGGGGTCCCGGGCTGCCCCCCGCGCCGCCGCCGCCCGCTCCAGCTGCCGTCCCGGGAGCCCCGGTTTGGGGCGCGCCGCTCCCGGTCTGTGCCGCACCGTCGGCGCCGGGGTTCTGCTTCTTCCACTTGGTCCTGCGATTCTGGAACCAGATTTTGACCTGCGTCTCAGTGAGGCTGAGAGACAGCGCGAGGTTCAGGCGCTCACACACGGACAGGTAGCGCGTGGCCCGGAACTTGTTCTCCAAAGCCACCAGCTGCTCATAGGTGAAGGCGGTGCGCGCGCGCCTCGGTTTGGCACAGCGGGGCTCGGAGCGCCGGCGCCGGGGCCGCGGGGAGCCGGGCCAGCCCGGGGATCCCGCGAGCCCACGGGTGCCCCGCTCCCCCGCCGCCAACGCCGCCGCCCGGGACTCGGGGGAGCGCGCCGGGTCCGCCTGCAAGCGCGCTGCCCGCTCCTGCGGCCGCCGCTGGCCCGCGTCCTCGGCTTCGTCCTCCTCCTCCTCCGCCTCCTCGGCCTCCGAGCCCTCCAAGGGGGACGCAGTGCCCGCGCCGCGATCCGCAGCGTCTAGTGGAGAAGGGGAGGGTGACCAGAAGCCCGGAACGACCCAGCCCCTCCGGGTCGCCAGACCCCCTCCTCCTCTGCCCCAGAGTCCCTAGCTCTGCCCCTCTCTGGCATCTCGCTCCCCCCCATCATCCCACGATCACACATCCTCGCAAGCTCTTCCCAGGAGTTGGGGATTAGGGGTGCGGTGTCCTCTTGCCCTTTACTCATTTGCTATCTAGTTGACGTCCAAAAAATGAATTTTGAATGAATGAATGACAACCCCCATTAAGAAAATACAATGACCATATTGGACAGTATTGGGCGGGTAGGATCACCGTACATTGAGACATCGAGATGTCAAGTGCGTTTAAGGCTCTGTATCCCCAGTTCCTAGAAGCCTATTTTGGTCTGGAACTCTTAGCAATTAAAAAAGAAGTTATTAAGCCCCCCCCCTTTAAAGTGAAATTCCCTCTTTCCCATCTTCTCTCTCCTGCCGTGTTAATAGAGTTTCAGATTTGTGCGGGACTGGATCGATAGATGTCATCTATTAAAGGTAAGTTTTAATCGAACAATATTAGGATCAGACAGGGAAAGGGGGTTTGAAGTCGGTACCTGCAAGCTGTGGGCAGGAGATATGCAGGCGCCCGTAATAGAATATCGATCATCGCTGTGGGGGGAAGGGAGGGCGGCCCCTCCGAGGGGCGATCCGAACAATTACCAGGCGGACTACCTGGGCCCAAGCACAGCCGCCAGAGGCGCCCCGAGCCCCCAGACAATCACTGCCAAATTTGGGAAGGAGAAGCGAGGGGCTGTGCCGCATCCCGCTTCTCTCGGATTTGCGCCCCTGACTCTGCGTCCCTCCAGGGAACCTCGTGCCCACGCTCCACCCGGGAAGGATCCTGCTGTCTTTTGTCCGTCCTTCCAGACACAAACTCTCCCAGACGCTGCCTCGGTGCCGCCAGACTTAGGAGTAAGTGAAAACCTTTCGAGGAGAAAGGACCAAAGGCCTCCCATCACCCAGCCTCACCCCTGCTCCCGCCCCAGTCAGTGATTGGGTCTGGGGAGAGAGGGCAGAGCGCGTGGGGCAGCGGAATCTCGGCAGGTGTCTAGATGGTTGGAAGTGGGCCCTAGGTGCCTAAACCTGACCTCGCACTCCCTTCCAGACAGGGACACATTAGTTATCCTCACCTTCCTCATCCATAAAATAAGGGCAATATTCATCATGTTGTCTACCTCGCGGGTTCCGAAGTTTTCCATGACTTTTATCTCTGGTCTAGGCCCTGGCACGTGGTGGGTGCATTATATGCCCGAGAAATGAATGAGCCTGGATAGCCGTTTAGCTTCCAGGGCGAGCAAAACAGAGCTGTGATGCTTAGTGGCTTGGCCGGTGAGCAGGGACGGGCTTTGGGAGGCAAATCCTTGACCGAGGATGCTGCGGGCCTCTTTTCTGCCTCAGTTTAGTTCCAACACAGAGAAAAGACAACACTTTGCACCTCGTCCTGTGAGTTTTCTCCCTTTAGTGAAGGCTCTCCTAACGGCCACTCACTCGGTCCCTGGTTGTCCATCCACCTCCCAACCTCCCAATCGCATCATCTGGGTTGGGGCTTTCCGGGACCCAGGGCCGCTTCGCATCCTTACCAGGGGTCTCCCGCTGCCGAGCTGAGTCCCCTAGGCCGGCGTCCTTCCCCGCTTCGGCCTCTGCCAAACTTTTCTTGGCTTCCCGGGAAGCAGGGCGCTCGGCTGGGAGCGTAGCGCGGGTGAATTTCTGCGGATCCAGGATGTCCAGGACAGAGAAGGAGATCTTGTGGTGGGAGGGAGCCGCCTTGGCCCCGCCGTCCTGCCATGCCAGCATGCCCGCCGCCCGCGGGCCCCGCGGCGCGGGGTCCGGGATGGCAGCGCTCTAGCTTGCCTTCGGCTGTGGCTGGGCCGCAGCTCTCCAGCCAGTAGGAGGGTCGGGGCGGCCAAGTGGATCTGGGGAGGGGCACGCGGAGGCGGGGCTGGGAGAGAGCCGCGGGGGCGCTGCGCCGGGATTGGCACTTGTGCGGGCCAGACCCCCGCCACGTGCAGAGCGCGCTCGCAGCGGCCCCCAGACTGCCCGCGCGGCGCAGGGGCAGCTCGCCTCGGCCCCCGGGGCGCCTGCGTGAGCCCGGTGCGCGCACCCGCCCGCCGGTACATCGCCGCCGTCTCAGCGCGCCTCTCCCACAGGGACTCCCGATGTGCGCTACCGAGGGATCGCGGGACCATTCCATCCTGGGGATCCCCTCCCCCCCCCATATACACACTGACTTGGGCTTGCGTTTGTGACTTTTCCCTGGTGACTTTGAATTGGGGATATCATTGAGGCCAACAATGATTACTTGAAGGCAACGCTGTGCACATCTCCTGCCCCGCCAGGGAATCACAGTGATGGTCTCAGACCTCGTCACCTCAGACTTAAAAGCTCTAGTGTTCTCACGATTTACAGTTGACAAAGCCCCTTGGCTTGCGCGATCTCACTTGGTTCTCGGAGCATCCCTGTGTGGAAGGAGTGGCCTGGCAAGACTATCATCCCCATTTAAAGAGAAGGGAATTGAGATTCCAAGATGAGAAGAGCATTGCCCAAGGTTACTGTTGACTGGTGACAGCGGCTGGATTGGAACCGAGAGGTCTTCTTGTCCCGGACCACTACCCTTTCCAGGATATCCTGCCATGTCAGAAATGGACGAGGGAAATTCTGCCCCTGAGTCCGAGGCTTCCCTTCTGCCCGAGAATAGCAGGGTTTTGCGGGAGATGTTCGAGCCCCCGCTAGGGTGTCCCGCCGCTTTGGGAGCCTTGACGGGTTGCGGGTTCAGAGCCAGGTGAGATGAGCCCTGTGAGGGTGGCTGCTCCGCTCGAGGAGCCCCAAGCACAGCCCTGTGCCCTTTGGTCCTTCCTCACAGCCAAGGTTTCAATCATGTGCAACAGACGGGGTCTCTAGGACCCAGGTTGGACTTTTTACCACCACCACCCCCCAATCTACTTCTAGCCCCAAGAAGAAAAAAAAGGTTAAAAGATGCTTGTCTGGTTTGAATTTAAGGTCAGGGAACAGAGATAATTGATCGGGCTCCCATCTGCCCCGCCAGGTCCCCTGGAATGATGAACATCAGTCCTTGGGGGAAGCTTCCACCAGCCAGACCCATCTTAACATTCCCTGTTCCTTTTGTCGCTTGGGGAGCAGTCTGTGAGCAGTAAGCAAATTCTGAGGCTTCTCAGACCCCTCTGCCCAGAACCACTTCTAACTCTGCTGTTCCTTTCTTCCCGGCCCCATGGGGCTTCCAAACAATGACTTGGCAATTAATATTGTCCAAGAAGGTAGCAGTAGGAAGAGGAGGAGAAAGTCGCTCATTAAAGTGCGGGGGTGGGTGGGGCGCTGTTAATCCCATCTGTTATTGAAGGGAAGACCCTCAGCGCCTGTTCCTTGTAGCTTTTCTCATTCAAACCTGTGGCCCCTCCTGGGGGCGGCCCCTGTATTCCCTGCGGACTTTAAAGCCCTGCCGAAATGCACACCCGCTCTGGTCTAAAGCTATGATGGATTGTGCTTTTACAGGAAAGCAGGAAGGGAAGTGCCCGGCTGGAGGCCCCTGGCCCACCTCCCCAGAGGGAATGCACACCCTGTGAAAACCAAAAAAAAGGTGGCTCTGGAACTACACAGAGGCACCCAGGAACTTGGATTGCAAATCACAGAACCTTCCAGAACATACGCCTAGGGTAATTTGCTTTCTGTTTTGAGGACTTTTTCTTACCCAGATCTCCTTTTTTTTTTTTTAATTTAAGTTTCCTTTTCTTTTTCCTTCCCTCCCCATATTGAGCCCAGGTCCCTTTTACTTTTTGTCCCCACACACATTCCTATTTCTTCCACATTTAGGTCTTCCGGGTAGAAATAGATCTCCCTAAGGCAGCTCCAGAAGGGATATTTGTGACCTCCCACCATGGGTCTTATCTGTTGTTAGCAACCTTGCAGCCATTTTCCTGGGAAGTTGGGCTAGCCTTCCAGAGGCACCCGGTACCCAAACCAGAGGGACAAGGAGGGCGGCCAAGAGCAGCCCCAATCTGGGTCATTTTCATTTCACTTCATAAATTGCCTCGAACAATTTTTGTTTAAAAGATAGGAATTACCTTTCCTTTGAGGTCTACAGGTGTTAGACATAGAAAAGGAGCAGCAAAGGGAGAAGCAACAAATTGGGGACAAAACCAAGAGTACAGAAAGGCCACGTTTTTTAAGACTCAACCTTTAAGAACTTCCTTTAGTTCTTTTTAATTGTTCTTGCCCATTATTCCCCCCCCCAACACACACCATTTCTGATACGCATGCTCAGTGCAACCCAGGTTACTGTGTGTGGCTTCTGGAAATAGATGACGCAGAAGAAACATCAGAGTGTCGCCCATCAACACTGAAGGGATGGAAAATGCTTCCTCTGACTCACCCCACTTAGAAGTCCCCCACCCAACAACTAGACAAAAATTACTCTATTTGGTGAGGGGAGGTCGGGTGGGGAGGGGGCTTAGGGAATCCTCTTTCTGGCCACCTGCTTTGTAAATAACCAGGAGCTAGGAGACCTCCCATAGGTACAGTTTGGCCTGTGTTCACTCACTAACATCCTCCCACATGTATTTATACCCGAGGTGTTCCTATATAATAAATACATCCATATCCAGCAAGCCACCTTCCCTCTGTGCCTGGAGTTGATTTGTTTTTTCAACATGGGCATTAAAATTCTGCCCGAGTGCTGTCTTTAAATTGCTTTGATGCTAGGTGGGTTCCAACCCTGACCTGTCCTGATGGCAAGTGATGGCTGTAACAAGCTCGGGATCAATATTCATAGCGGGTGTCCTGGGCTGATAACACTATCCAAGACAATGTTCGCTATCGGTGCAGACAGCTGAGATATTGCGCCATTAGGGATGTTGTGTTAAATAACCTGATCCATTTCTGGGGCTATTTAATGAATTTCACAGTTTAGATAGTATCTTTAAGGAGAAGGCAAAGGCTATTCCGGAGGCACTGATGCAAATCGATGGTGCCAAGCTTCCCAAGCTATTCCACAAACAAAGTGGCCTATAATTCCAGCACAGCCTTGAAGAGCTGCTGCCCGAGACATGAACGGTGTGAATACGGAAAGAATGTGCTGTTTATGCAGAGGGAGACCAATATTATGAGCCATGTCAAAGCACCTTAGATAAAATCTTATGTTCCTGAAATAAAATAAGCAAATTCTCTAGGTAAAACCCTGCAGTCAGGGCCAGCCCCCTGAGTAGGACAGGGATGCCAAAGAGACAGCTTCATAAGGCACAGCTTGGTGACAAAGGGAGAGAAGTCAACTGCAGGGATAGTCATGTGGGCAGCCTCAGCCAGCTTTCCCCAAGATGTATTTCAACTCAAAAATGGGTCTGCAAAATGGGAAGGGGGAAGGCGCTGGTTTGTAAAAGGGAGCTAATGATCCTAGCAGAATCAGGTGTTAATGTTTATTTGACTCTACACCCCTGGTTGCCCCCAGAGAGTTCATTTACAATTAAAGGCTAACCCTAGTTTCCCACCAGGGCTTTGAACTAGGCTGCCAAGCCCAGCAAGTATTCCTTTAAAAAAACACACCTCTCGGAGGCTTTGATTTGTGAACGCTCAGAAGGTAGCCTTCCCACCAAACCCCACTGCAGCCATAAGAGAAGTGGGTACTCAACACATTTTGCTTTAAGAAATCAGTATTTCTTCTTGGAAATCAACAGGTTAAAAAAAATCAAAAAATTTTAAGTTAACTTCTTTGTCTCAGAAATGTGGAGAAGGATCAAAGAAGGGGGTAAAGCAGCGATTATATTGATTAGTGGAATACATGTTAATTGCTTCTCATAATGACAATTAATATACGTAACAGCTGTTCTTTTTGAGGAACTTGCTCTGGGCCAGGTGCTTGGCCAAGCTTTTTGCTCATTTTGGGTTATTTCATTCAATCCTCCCCCACAACCCCACGGAGCAGGCACTGTGACTGTCCCCAAATTGCCCACGACCCCAGAGCTAGGAAGTGATGAAGCAAAGATCTGAACCCGAGCAGTGAGATTTCAGAACCTGCTTTGGGGAGTTCCGACCCAGGGAATCACATTCTGGCCCCAGGGTGAAATCTAATTATAGACATTTATCGAATGACTTTCCTTCAAAGTTACACAGAGAGCTGGGATGCGTAAGAGGAACTGCTGGAAAATAACTGAGCCCAGCACTGCCTTGGGGGTGGAGGGAGTACCATGGTGCCCGTTTGGGGATCCAGCTCCAGCTGCTCTGATGTTCAGTGTTTTCTAATATTTTAAGATATTCCCGGGAGGAACCCAAGACAGGGGAATTGCCCATGAACCAAATTGCTCCGGGCATCTAGGAAAGTAGAGACATGTAATTGGAAGACGGAGAATGAAAGGGAAAACGCCAAGTGACAAGCTGAGGACATATGGGGAGAGAACTGGTGAGGGACAGGGCCAGCAGGAGCAGGGAGGGACAAGAGCGCAGTCTGGGCTATTGCGGACTGTGAGCATGGAATGCCGCGTTAACACCCTTCCCAAGGGAGACACATCAAGCATAAAGACGAGGAAGCAAGGTGGGACTTTGCAAACATACGGTGCACCTGCTTCCTTGAATGCAGGTAAGTATGATCCATTTTTCTGCAAGGCAGGTGTCAAAGCCCTCTGTTCCCCCACCTGTGTCTGAATTTCATGCCTTCAGTGTCTTTTCCCTGGTCTCCCTGCCTCCAGCCTTGCCACCTCCAGGCTCTTCACCTCGTGGGTGTGCAAACTCTAGCCCCCAGAGGGCCAGGCCTGGCCCAAGGAGCACCATTAGCCAGAATGCTGGTGCTCAAG